TAGCTTAAAACACTATATGTTGATGACTAGCAAACATATCTGGTTTAGATCTTTCCTCTGAGCTCTAAAATTGCATATCTAACTGCCTACTGTATCTCTCCAATAAAGCCTCTCCTGTACCTTCTTAGTGCAGAAATAATAAAACACACATGTGAAATTAATGACTATAAGACCCTGTATAATCTGGCCCCCTCCAACCTCTCTGGCCTCATCTCATATCTTTACCTTTCTCCCTCTCACTCTGATTGCTCTATCCACACTGGCCTTTATTCCTCTCCTTGAGCCTACCAAGTTCATTTCTCACACATGTTATTTGAACTCTTTGAATGGCTGGTTCTTCCTTATGATCCCAGTCTTAGCTCAGTGTCTCTTCCTCCAAAAGGCCTTCTCCAACCATCCTATCCAAAGTAGTCTACTCACCTAGCCACAGTCCCTCTTGTAAGTTGAGTCATGAGCACCCCCCCCCAAATTACGTCCAAGCCTTAACCCCTGCAACCTGTGAAGTTGACCTTATTTATACAGGAGGGAGGCTCAGGGAAAAAAGTACTGTACAGATGCAATTACATTAAGGATTTCAGGATGAGATCATCCTGGACTTAGGGTGGGCCTTATAGTCCATGGCAGGTGTACTTTGACGAAGAGAAGATGCAGAGACGCAGAGAGAAAAAAGAAATGGGAAGTGGGAGGCAAAACTGTACCGACGCCCTCAACAAGGTGAGGAATGCCAAGGGCTTCCAGCAACCACCAGAAGCTAGAGGAGAAGCACGAAACAAATTTTCCCTTGGAGCCTCCACAAGGAACCAAACCTGTCAGCATCTTGATTTTAGATTTCTAGCCTCTAAAACTGTTAGAGAATAAGTTTTTATTGTTTTTAAGGTTTCAGTTTATGGTAAGCTGTTACAGCAGCTGTAGAAAACTAATACATCTCTCTAACTTAACCCTGCTTCACTCTGTTCACGGCACTTCTCGAAATTTGGTGTCATCCATTTAATTACTTGTATACTAGTTTATTTTCTATCCCCAACTGCCCACGTGTAGGCTCCATGAGGAAGTTTAGCCATCGTATTAATCATTGGCTATCCATGTCTAACTCACAATTATATCTACATGTCATAGAAACTCAGTAAATACTTGTCAAGTGAATGAATGTTTTTTCAACACTGATCTCCTCTAAAAATGATTTACAGGTCTTTGTCTTTGATTTGACTTAAACTGTTTGTGAGATGGAAACCCTGTCACCACTTTACCCCCTGCCACAACCAATTAACATGAGGCCCTCAGCACATACACATTGAATATATTTGGAACATCTAATATGCCAGGCATTGTCACAGGGAACTCTCTAAGCACAGTTATCTCATTTACTTCTTGGAATAATACCTCAATTTATATATTATTGTCTGTTTTATAAATGAAAAAAGTAAAGCTTAGAACAGTTAAAAAAATTGGTAAGATCATCAGGTTAATAAGTGATGGTGTCAGGATTTAAACCCAAGACTCTCTGATTTCAAACACCATGCTTGTTCAACTGACCCAGCCTCCTTAGCAATAAAAATCTCTGGGCGAAATAAAAATTACAAAAATAAAATTAAATTAATATTTAAAAGATTTAATATTTTAAAAATTGCCTCCCTCACTCAACTCTAAATGCCCAATATTCCACAAAGAGACAGAGAAAGAACTCTGTCTTAAAACTAAGGGAAGCTTTTCAATATCGTTGGTGAATACTCATATTAAATCACACCTGTCATCTACACTTCAGAAGAGCAGATTTGTCAGGCAGAAGGAGAACATAAACCTCTGGGAGGCTGGAATGCTTATTAGGTTAGTGGTTTTTAAAGCTTAGGGTGCAGATCTTGGGGGTGGAAGTGAGAGATACAGTTAAAAATGCAGATTCCTGGACTTCACTCACAGATATTCTGATTCAGTAGCTCAGCTTGGAGATTAGGAATCTGTTTCCTTAGCAATCCGTGGCAAGTGCACTACTGCCTGCGGTAGTTACACCACCTTTGAGGAACCATGAGGGCATCAAAAAGGAAATAGGGTACAGCAAGAGAGAGCCAGGGAGCCAAAGTCAACCACACCGACTTCCCAGCTGTGCCAAGGGCTGGCCCTGGTGGGGAGGCATAACTAGTGTGGGTAAAGGGATTTCATATCTTTGGGTGGAAAATCAACTGAGCATGCCAAATATCAATATTGTGTTTCATCTGAGAGTGTCTTTTCGCTTTCTTTTGCCACACCTTTCAAACTGTGATGATGGGAACAATAACAAGTCTGTGTTTTTTGGTTTCATCAGAGCTATTTTTCATATATCTCCTAAAAATCACATTCATTGTTAAACAAATTTAAATTCATTAGCATGATATAACTAGAAAAAGCAATAGATATTTACTCTTTAGCCTTTCTCCATGATTGTCCTTTTTTGTTTAACCTCAAAAAATATGCCTCGTATGACAAATTTCTAAGTAGCTTAAAGTGCCTCACATTTTCATCTGTCAACGTTGAATTCCATAAGCGTTATAGGTGGAAACTGAAACTATTTTCATTACCACAACATCTCCATTTTATAGGTAAGGAAGGTCAATCAGAAAAGAAATAGATTAAGCTTATTTCTGAATCTAGGGGCAATTCCTTTATTTACCAAAAAAAAAAAAAGTGATGAAGTAAGGCGAAAGGGG